GGAGATGCTCTTAACTGGTGATATAGCCTCCGATTAGGAGCTCCTATGTTTGCAGTCCAACTGTCAATGAAAGATTGTGCCCCTTGGGCGTGGTAACATGATCGCTATTTGGTGTGGAAGGATTTATTCACGTATTTGTTTCTTTTCTGATGCCTCTCAGTCATACGTGTTTTCTAACATCATCTTGATTATGTGTCGACCATCATGTGTATTTTTTTTTTTGAAACCGCCATCAAGGCATCTTATTACTGATTAAGCGGTATAAATTCTGATTGCACTTGGGCAATCAAGAACGCAGGGATTACATCAAATGAGGAGCTGCAGCACTCCATATTAAGTGCTTCCTTTGCACACAGATGAGCCGCAAAGTTCGCACTCCGATTAGAGAATACTAAAGAAAATCCCTGAAAGTTTGAGAGATACATCTTCATCTCTCTGAAGATATGTCCGGCCTCGGATCGGTCTTGCCCCGCCTCCCATGCCGTAGCAATCATCTGGCAGTCTGTCTCCAGTATTACCTTCTGGTAGCCCTTCTCCATAGCCATTCGCAAGCCATCTCGGCATGCCAATGATTCAATAATAAATGGATCTGATATAGCTTCATACTTAGTTGTCTGGGCTGCAGCAAACATACCTGAGTGATCTCTCGCGATCGCCCCAGTCCCCGCACACTTCTGTGCACATCCGACTGCACCGTCGGTGTTAACTTTGATCCATCCCACGCTTGGAGGATCCCACTTAGGTTGAGTTTTAACTTGTTGCTCCTCCACTGCCGGAATGTCAAGAGCTCGCACTAGCTCCTGTATTAGCTGCATTGATCTGTACGGTTGATAGGCAATCTCCTTGTGAGTATATTTGTTCCTGTTGCTCCAAATCGCCCACAAAACCGACACAGAAACTGCTGCATCCTTCTGGCACATGAAAGTATGATCTAGCAAATCTCTTGCCCACGTCACAGGATGTAACGCTGGAAGTTTTAATTCAAAAAAATCCTTGGCTGCTTCCCAAAACAGCACTGCATGCTCGCAGGTTATCAGCGCATGATATAAAGATTCATCGCTTCCTCCACACATTGGGCAAATTGCATCTGTTCTGATATGGCGTCTGCATAACTCCCCATGTGCTGGTAACATATCCTTCAACACTCTCCACATGAAAACTCTAATTTTTGGCTGAACTTGTAGTTTCCAAAGAGCCCTCCATGTTCCTTCTCCACCATCAGAAGATGAAGTCTGAACTTGCAAGTTAAATTTTTTGTCCATTGTCATTCTATAAGCCGACCGGACTGTAAACTCTCCAGTCTTCTCCCATGTCCAGCCCCAAAAATCTGGGCCTGTGATTCTTGGTCGCGGCATGCTCAAGATTGCATCCGCATCAGGTGCAATAAACATACTCCGAATCAAGTGAGTATTCCACTGCCCTGTGTTGTCAAGAAGATCAGCAACTAACTGTACTGGCTCCTCAGATAGACGGCAGATAGGTTTCATGGAAACAGTCCCGTTTATCCACTTGTCATGCCATATTTCTGTCGTCATCCCGTCGCCGACACGCCTTATCAAGCCTTCTTTCAACATGCTCCTACCAATAATGATAGCTCGCCAAGTGGGTGACGCACTCCTTGGGCAATCTGCACTCAAGAAATCACCATTAGGATAATACCTCCCTTTTAGTACGCGTGCACACAAGCTATGTGGCCTCTCCAATAGCCTCCAGGCCTGCTTTGCCAACATGGCATCATTAAAAGTCTCCAAGTCTCTGAATCCCATCCCACCTCTGAATTTTGAGACAGACATTTTCTCCCATGACTGCCAGTGCATTCCTCTTTTATCAAGTGATCCCGCCCACCAGTACTTGGACATTACTGTCATGACCTTTCTGCACAACCCCTTTGTGAGCTTGAAACAGCTCATAGCGTAGGTTGGTAAAGCCTGAACCACTGTCTTAAGAAGGACTTCCTTTGCAGCACATGAAAGCTTTTTCTCACACCAGCCTTGCACCCTACATCTTGAACACTCATGGATGTGTTCAAAGTGACTCTCCTTGAGCCTACCAGATGGAGTTGGTAGCCCAAGATATTTTTCTGTGAGTGCTTCTCTATGAATATCTAATGCATTCCTTACACCCACTCGAATAGAAGCCCCAGCATTCCCACTGAAAAAGACTGAACTTTTCTGCTTATTAGCTCGCTGCCCTGAGCCTTCACTATAAACATTCAGAATTTCATTGAGCCGAGTTGCACTCCTAACATCGGCCTTCATGAACACTAGACAATCGTCTGCAAATAATAGATGTGAGATCCACGGGGCTGTGAAGCCCACCCGGATCCCTCTGTCAATCCATCCCGCATCGTAGTTCTTGAGCAGACATGACAAGCCTTCCCCACACAACAAGAACAAATATGGAGATATGGGATCCCCTTGCCTAAACCCTCTGGTAGGCTTAAAAGAGGGTAGTAGCTCCCCATTCACTTTTATCTGAAAATTAACTGAGACCACACATTTCATAATTAGGGAAACCCATTCTTCTGCAAAACCCATTTGCTGCATGACACCTTGCAAGTATGGCCATTCAACCCGGTCATAAGCTTTCATCATATCGATTTTAACCGCACACCATCCCTGTTTACCCTTCTTGCGCTTCATCGAGTGAATACACTCATAAGCTGTGAGTACATTGTCTGTAATCAGCCTGCCAGGCACAAATGCACTTTGTTCTTCTGCTATAATCTCATCAAGGATCTCACGGAGACGGTTAGCCAAAACTTTAGAACATAATTTGTAAATGACATTGCATAAGGAGATCGGCCTAAACTGGGTAATATTCCTTGGATGTTTCACTTTCGGTATAAGAACGATTACCGTTTTGTTAATCGTCTCCGGCATATGATCACCATGTAGAAACCCGAGCACCGCCCGAGTTACATCCTCCTTAATGAGGTCCCAATGCCGCTGATAAAAACCAGCATTAAACCCATCCACTCCCGGCGCCTTTGATGGTTTCATCGAGAATAGTGCGGCACACACTTCCTCTGCTGTAAAAGGCCTTATAAGACGTTCATTCATCTGGTCTGTTACCATCGCCGGTGTATTGAAATCTACCTTTTGTAAAAAATGATGAAGAGAGAGTTATGTGGAAATGTAAAATGCATGGATGAATGAATGTGAGACGATGGGCTTTACTACGTGTTCATGCGAACATGGGGTCGAAATATATAGGAGCGGGTCAGTGTAGTTTAGGCATGTCACGTGAAGGTAGGTGGGGAAATTAATAAAATGTGAGGAAATTAATAAAATGCACCGTGTAGAGATGGCGGCCCGGCATCTATATAAACACATGCATATTCTACCATTATGTTTCACTTATCATGAAGTCTGAGATATGATGTCGGGTTTTGTGATCCACAAAACTAACTTGACAAATTAGTTTCAGCAATATTTATATTTTCTTAAGCAAGGGCAAGTCCAGTTCCACTAACAGAGATAAACAGTGTGTACCCAAAGACAAAAGAATAAAATAAATAAATAACAAAAACAAATTAAAAACAACGAATAACCCTCCTCTGTTTTCCCATGCTTATCCCAGTACAACACTGGACACGTGATTTTGCTTAGTGGCCCAAATCCTTTGACAGAGACATCCCGAATCACATCCGAGTATAAAAAATGGGAGCACGCTCATCACCTTCGCCACCAACCCAACCCAATCACCGTCGCCATCGCGGACCAGAGACCAGCGGAGCTAATTAAACTGCCCCATCCTCTTGTACCGTTGTGCTTCTGAGTTTGCTCCTTGCTCGCTTGCTTGCTCCCTGTCCACGCCAGCCATAGCCATGGAGCTCTCCCGCCTGCCGCCGGTCCTGCTGCTCTGCTTGCTGGCCAGCTCGTCGACGACGGCCCTGCCGGCGCTGCCCGGGATGGACCAGGTGCGGCAGCAGGTCGACAGGGCAAACAGGCGCGGCCCGTCCATTGGTCTCGTCATGTCGTACGTCGCCGAGGACACCGCGCTCCAGGCCTCCGGCTACTTCAGGCCTTGGCGTGTCCAGCCTTTCGTTGACCTCTACGGTGAGTCTCCGCCTCCCGTTTCTGATCCGAATCGCTTTCGGCTTTCCTGTAGATTGAGCAAACAGTGGGTGAGTTTGGGCATTCCTAGTTGACTTTTTGGTTGTTACAAGACAGCTAGCACTGAGTGCTGAACTGCTGCTAACTGAACCCAGGCACCACAGAACAGAGTGGGGCAACAGGTAGACATGATAGTGTGGTCTTTATAGAGATGCCTGAAGCTGTGTGCACATGACAAACCATACCTGAATGCAGATTGACC